TAGAGTGTGCATAGTTCTAGCCTCACTGTGCCTTGCAGCACAGTAATATGTACCACTGTCCTGTGCAGTGAGTTTGGATACGTTCAGGCTGAACCTGTTGTCCATTGTGTTTAGAATGGCTTCATAGCTCTGTGTTGGTTTGTCATACTCTTTTATAATAAACTGAATAGGTTGTCCATAAATACATAGTATTGCTAGACATGCTAACTCCTGCTGCCATGCTACAGTCTAAAGTCACGTCATCTCCTGGTAGTGCAAACATGAATCATGTTGACTGAACCACGATGTGAGCTGATGTCTGACCTACAGGAATAAAAACAGTAGACAAACAAATAAGACTGAAAAAGCACTTACTTATAAGCTATAAAGTTATGTATAATTGACTAGCATGAGTTCAGCATGTTGTTTGCCTTGAATAAATAAAAAGAGATTTGAAATTTGATAAATTCAGCTGTCCATACTGTGTAAATGTCCAAACTGCAAATATGACACTCACATTGACTCACAATAAGGAGAAGTACTGAGATTCGGCTGTTCCTCATCTTCCAGATTGAGCCAGATCAAGTGGAGCTCTAAGTAGCAAAAAGTAAGCTAACAAGCTGACTCTAAGAGGAGGAGCTGTGCTTTGTAGATGACGTTTGATGGCTATGGTTCAAACAAACGTGAACAAAAAAAATGTTTCTGACATCATCACAAATGAATATCACAAGTACTGCATAAATGAATATAATGAACATTATTTTGAATAGGATTTTAAAGGCAACTTCTGAATGTGTAAACGTGTTTTCTGCATTTTTTAACTTGCCATTTAAAATAAAATACAGGTTTTCTGTGTGCAGCATTTCACACATTTTACATTTCATCTAGACATCATAATAAATGGCATATAGAAAAATCTGATGTTATAAAGCATGTTGTGAATATTTGTGCAACATGGCGGGATAATTACATAATACAAAAAAACCTACAGTTTTCAGCTCAAATTTATTGATTTTTGTAAATACAAAGACGGTATTATCATGCTAAAGACAATATCTGTACCATGGAGGATTCAAAAATATTATGAGATATGTAATTTTAGAATATATGTCTCCTGTTGTTGATGATGCACTTATTCTTTAGGTGTATTATATGTGGAATAAATGCATCAACATGATTCAGACATCAATGTCAAACACTGAAAAGTTTGTACTATCTACACTGCATTGGTGAATAAGCACAAATTACTCTAGACAAACATTTGTGTGTCTTTGTTTATTGCTGAAGTGTGTTGAAATTTCTTCTTCTGCATTCTACGGACGTAAACTTACTTTCCCTTCAGCCTGAGGATTATTCATTTCACTTTTGGTGTGAAAAGGCTTTTATATTTGCCAAAAATATAATTTTTTATTTTAAAAACAAACAAGCAAGCCCTGTCCAGATTTAAAAAGTAACGCGAAAGTAACGTAACGCATTACTTTCCATAAAAAGTAACTAAGTAACGTAATTAGTTACTTTTTTAGGGAGTAACGCAATATTGTAATGCATTACTTTTAAAAGTAACTTTCCCCAACACTGTATATATATATATATAACCCTTTGAAAATATCTGGATTTCCATATGGATTATTCAGTAAATGTGAAATCTGATCTTCATCTACTGTTAGTCGCGATTATAGACAAAAACAATCTCACTCAACTAATAACACACAAACAGTTGTACCTTTCAAAATGTTATCGAAGACATTGAGTGATCATTGCACCTTGCAAATTGTGTTCAGCACATATTTTAAAGGGCATGCTTGCATTGTTGTTACATGATTTGCATAATTCCTTCAGTAAATCGGACAGGCATAATTCATTCTTAGTGAATTCCCCATTGCTTTTTGTTTACAATTTTAGTGTGTCATAAATAATATTAATAGTTCATATTTTGCTTACATTGTATTCTCATTGCTCTTCTCCCAAAGCACCTCCACACCAGAAAGGAATTTAATATTGGCAGTTAGTCATGGTTTATAACACACCTGAAATTGGTTAACCACATGCGTTAGAATCTAATTTCAATAGTTTACAGTAACATAAAAATGGAGTAGCATATCTTAGTTTGGGTAGAGGGTTTTTCTGTTAGTAAAAACTGATTTTGCAGCACTGTGTACTGGCAGCACAGTAATATATAGCCGAGTCTGACAGAATGAGGTTTGAGATGGTTAGAGATCCCATCACTGTGTCCTGTCTAGTTTGTGTGAACCGATCTGTAAATCGAGACTCAAAGTTTGGTGGAGATCCTGTGTAACCATAGCCGATTAAATCTAGAGACATGCCTGTTCTCAGTTGTTGATACCATAGCATGACAGCTAAGCTACTGTCATCATGTTTGCAGTTGATCTGTGCCTCGCCACTTAGGTTGGCAATCAAGAGTGGAGTCTGTTCAAATTTTACACAATTCACAGTCCCTGTGGAGAAAATATTAGTAAAGTTAGAAAAGCATTCTGAAAAGTATCTTTCAAAATTGATTAAATAGCGTATTTTCATTGCTTTATTATCATACTTATAAACGTGATGAGAAAAATGCCCAGCCCAAACGTTAGCTCACACATCTCTGATGCACTGCTTGATAGAGAATGAAAGAGATGCTTAGAGACATTAGGGAGGGAAGACTGTAATATCCTCTACTGTAACTGCACTTTTGTCAGCGTTTTAATACCAGAGTTACATCTCCCCCTGCTGGCCCTACAACAACCAGAGTTATTTTAGTTTTTGGTATGCAAATCTTTGATTGATTGATTGATTGATTGATTGATTGATTTATGCTTGCTTGCACACTGAAAAAAAAATTAAATGATGACTTGCACTAATGCAGTTATCTGGAGTATTCTGGTGGGTTTTTTTGTACATTTGATGCATATTTTAAAAAGACATTAAAATAAACATTGAGGTCGTTTGTCTTTATTTATATTAAGTAAACTTAATTAAACATTATCTAGCAAAGTTTTATCTTAAGTGAAAATTCTACGTTCATATAGCTAAATTAGCTTTTGTTTATGGTGAAATTAAGTTGTAAAAATGTTAAGTTGTGAAAAATATATTGACCTACATTAAGTAACATTTTTGCTTGTGACTAATGAAAATATATTTATTAAGCACTGAATTGTGGGGGGGGGGATCAAAGAGATTATCCAATTTACTTTTATTTATTACTTATATTTATTGTTTGTGACAACAAAGTTATGTTTCTCTTCTAAACTTAATTTCTTTGCTTTCGATTAATATAATAAAATCTAAAAAAGTTAAATAACAATTTACTATATTAAATTATGTAGGGCGAATGTGAATCAATCAAATACTCGAAAATGATGATTTCGACATAACAGAATCTGTAGTTCGTTTGCTTTGGCTGAGAACGCGTACATAAAAATTATGCCTTTGCTGCTTTTCCTAAGGTGCAGACTTATCATTTAACATTCTAATATGTGCTGTTGTTTGCTAGCAGCTTGTATCTCATAGGTCAAGCATTCAAATATTGTGTTGGCCAAGCGGGGACCTTCAAGTCAAAACAGTGAGAAGAAAAAAAACAATTTTAAAGAATATTAGAACATCAAAGCAGAGATATGAAAACCATATACCACTTTTTTTGGTTTCCTGTGTGCTTGAGTTTTAGTTAAGCAGTCATTTTAGTTTGTGGCACTGTGCATACTGACAGCACAGTTATAAACAGCAGAGTCTGATAGACTGAGATTAGAGATTTCAAGAGCTCCATTCAGTGTATCTGTTTTCTTCAGTTTAAACCGGCCTTTAAATCCATCCTCATAGCTGGGTTCACTCATACCGTAAGTGTAACCGATTAGAACCATGGCTGTATCCTTCTGCTGATACCATAGCATATTTAGCATGCTACTGTCATCATGAGTGCATTTCATCTCTGTTTTATCATTTTGATTAAATTATGCCTTTGCTGCTTTTCCTAAGGTGCAGACTTATCATTTAACATTCTAATATGTGCTGTTGTTTGCTAGCAGCTTGTATCTCATAGGTCAAGCATTCAAATATTGTGTTGGCCAAGCGGGGACCTTCAAGTCAAAACAGTGAGAAGAAAAAAAACAATTTTAAAGAATATTAGAACATCAAAGCAGAGATATGAAAACCATATACCACTTTTTTTGGTTTCCTGTGTGCTTGAGTTTTAGTTAAGCAGTCATTTTAGTTTGTGGCACTGTGCATACTGACAGCACAGTTATAAACAGCAGAGTCTGATAGACTGAGATTAGAGATTTCAAGAGCTCCATTCAGTGTATCTGTTTTCTTCAGTTTAAACTGGCCTTTAAATCCATCCTCATAGCTGGGTTCACTCATACCGTAAGTGTAACCGATTAGAACCATGGCTGTATCCTTCTGCTGATACCATAGCATATTTAGCATGCTACTGTCATCATGAGTGCATTTCATCTCTGTTTTATCATTTTGATGTGCAAATAAGGATGCAATTTTCTGTTGAACATGCACACATTTCACCTTCCCTGTGAAAATAGTCAAGCTTTAAGAAATATTCCACTTTGGAAAAACATCTATTAAGTAATGATAAAAAAATTATATTGCTATCTCAAATGAATTCTTACCCATGTAAAAGAAGAAAATATGCACAGTTCATATGCAGCTCTAAACATCCTTCTAAGGGTTACGAAAACTGATCATGCACAGCAAAAAATAATGTGACAAGAGAGCAGGTAGAAAACTATAACAAAGACAGAAAGAGGCGAATCTGTGCATTAAAATACTCACATCTTCCCCTATTGACTGTATCACATCAACAAGACCTTGATGCAAAGGTTTTTCTTTTTTTTTCTTTTTTTTTTGGTAGAAGGGAGGAGTAAAATGTCAATAATTTGCATGTGCAAGTTCTCTTGCTCTACTGGCTTCTCTGTAAAGATATGGGTTCATTTATTTGTGGTTGAGGCAGGTGTGATTGCAGGTTGCTTTTCGAAGAGTTTTTGTTGTATACTATATTGGTGTTTATTCACTGTGTAAACTAGCAGCACACAGATACACAGCATCAATCCCCTTCTTAACATCAACCGTCAGGGTCCATTTCTTTGTCTCTGTACCTGAAATTGTGAAGCCATTCTCAAAACCCTTCTCATTAGAGGGAGAGTTAAAATCGTTGCTCCCAATAAGCACTGGTCCTTCACCTTTTATTTGTCTGTACCAGTATTTGTAGTTATAGTCTGTATCGTTCTGGTAACAGTGCATTTCAGCTGAGGAGCTTGGAAGACTGGATATGTACTTTGGCCATTGAGTGATCAGAACACCGTCACTGAAATCTGCTGGAAATATACAAACAAAAACAGGTGATGTTGTCCATTAGAAATCTACATTTGGTCAACATGTATAAATGGGAATCACTGTTATCCAAAGTTAAAATAATACCTTTTAGACAAAGCAGTGTGAATAGGAGAAGAACATCCATTTAGACTTGCTTTTTGTGAATTACTTTCTTATGTTAAGTTGATTACACAAAGACAAACTACACAAACTAGTGGTTATTCTCTTAAGCCACACCCCTTTGTTTTTAAATCATTGGTGGAAAAAGAATGACACTGTTCTTCTGTTACAAAACCACTTGCCTACGTAGGCGGCTGCTTTCTGAGCCTGCATCTTATCAAGAATCATTAAAGTGACTGATTTTGAAAGCTCTACTACTGTAATGAGAGTAAATGATTCTAAAAGGCATTAAAATTCTACAACTTTATAGCAGGAAAAAAAAGAAGAGAGAAGTTGATACAGTGTCAAGTGGCTGTCTTTTTGAGTGAGTTAAGGAATTTTTCATCAAACCTATTTGTGCAATTCATTCAGGTGATTTGTATGCTGATTCATTCAGGAACAAGTGACTGGCTGAATTGAAAATGTAGTAGTATACTATTCTTTCTATTTCTCTTACATATTTACATAACATAAATAGTAAGAGTAGTGTGTCATTTTGAACTTTGCAGAAGTGAATCACTGAATCATTCACTCAACTGATTAATTTCATTGAGGAATAGCACTACTGTGTTTTGCTCGCTATGGCACATTTTGCTGTAGCTTTTTTTTCATTGGCAGAGTAAAACTCATTATTAACATGATGTTATTGAACTGTTGTATAGCAGCAATATCGCACTCACAATTGGTTGTGTTTTACAGAAAATCAACATGATTGTGATTACCTGCAGCACAAGGCAGCAAGAGTACTCTTATGTTTATGATGTTGCTTAACTGTTTTTGTCAACATGTTTTGGAATTGTTATAAATGTAAGCATTTATTGTCAACCTTTTCTCGACTTTATCTGCCATTTTGGATGTTTCTGAGCTTGTTGCAATGCATTCTTGCAGTATCTTTGAAGAACACATGCAATGCTATCTTTAGGTGTCTTATAAGACAGCAGTCTACTTTTTTTTAAACCGTCTTTGTGTCAGAACAACAAATTATGTCTTAAATTTGGTCTAGTTAACTAATAGTAATCGGCAGTTTACTAAGTTTTATAACAAAGCTTAAATCTCTTATCTAGGATTGTGCTATTAAACAATGGCATACAGGTCAAACATTGTTTTTTAATATAGAAATTATACCCTTTAAAATATTTTGAATAGAAACCCAAATGTACTTTTTATGAATCCCACAAACTTTTTGTGTGTATTTGCTGTATGTCTGGTGGTTTGGGTTTTAGTCAGGCAGTTAATAAAGACTACAGCACTGTGCATACTGACAGCACAGTAATAAACAGCAGAGTCTGATAGACTGAGATCAGAGATTCTCAGAACTCCGTTCAGTGTATCTTTTCTTTCCAATTTAAACTGTTTTTTAAATCCATCCTCATAGATGGGCACACCTTCAGCACTATAACTTAACACGATTAAGGCCATGGCCGTATTCTTCTGCTGATACCATAACATATTTGGCTTGCCACTGTCATCATATCTACACATTAACTCTGCTGTTTTGTTCTTGTTGAATAATAAGGGAGTCATGTTTTGTTGAACGTTCACACATCTCACCATCCCTGTGAAAAAAAAAAAAGGTTTTGAGAGACATTCTATTTCAAAGCAATAACAAACATGATGAGGATGTATAATAACTTACCATAATACAGAAAGAAAAATATGAACAGTCCATATGCAGCTTCAAACATCCTTCTTAAACAAGCTAAGAAATACTCTGGTCATGCACACAGCAAAAATAATGTGACAAGAGAGAGTGTATAATACTGTACTAATGAAAAGAGAGGGAAAACTTGATTAAATAAAGTCATATCTCCCCCTACTGACTGTACCACATCAACAAAACCTTGATGGGAAGGGTTTTTTTTTTTTTTGGTGGAAGGGAGGAGTATATCATCATTATGAAATCTGAATGTGCAGGTTCTCTTGTTCTGCTGACTTGTCTGGAAAGATATGGGTTCATTTATTTATATAAATTATTATATCAACATTTTTGTCTTATAGTTTTATTATCATTTATTCACTGTGTAAACTAGCAGCACACAGATACACAGCATCAATCCCCTGCTTAACATCCACTTTCAGGGTCTATTTCTTTGTCTCTGTGCCTGATACTTTGAATCCAGTATCAAAACCCTTCTCATTCAATTCAGCAGTCCCGATGATGCTTGCAATAAGCACTGGTCCTTTTATTTGTCTGTACCAGTATTTGTAGTCATAGTCTGTATGGTTCTGGTAACAGTGCATTTCCACAGAAGAGCCAGGAAGACTAGATATGTACTTCGGCCATTGAGTGATCAGAACACCATCACTGGAATCTGGAAATACAAAGATAGTTCAGATTTGTCATCCCATAGAAATCTACATTATAGAAATCTACATTATTCAAGACCATACAAACACTATCGTAATATTACAAATTAATACCTTTGAGAAAAAGTAGTGACATGCATAGAAGGAGAAACATTGCAATTTAAAATGTCCTCTGTTAAGTGTACTCTGATTCTCTGTTCAATATAGGCTACTTGACAAACTAGAGATTTTGAAGTCACGCCCCATTGTTACATCATGCTTGGGATAAATGGAATATAATCGGGTGGATCTAACAATGAAATACACATATTTTAAATTAAAATAAAATAAATATTTAAAGTTTCAAATTAATTAAACAAGAAATAATTGTAATTTTAAAATGAAATTCATCATAAATTAAATGTATTTCAATAGATATAAATTAGCAATATCACAGGAGTAGCAGTGCGATATGGCAGTATATTTGTTGGCTGTGTCTTACCAGGTGTTGTTGAAAGTAAAAATAGCTTGTTTACGGTCCGTGTATCACCCGATCATTCATTAATTTAATTCAATCTGGCAAAAGAAAAATGGCAAAACCCAGTCAATATTTCGTTTTTATAAACAAACAATGTAAAGTTGGCATTCTGTAGAGGAATCTGACGATCTAGAACAGTAATGGTATACACAATGACCTCAAGGATATGTGTATTCAATCAAAGAAAGGTTTTCCTATGAATTAATTAGAGAACAGTCCATTTCTCTGGGCATTATGTGTCTTTCTTATGAGGAAAATGAGGGCGTTTCTCTGCCCGCATTCCTTTAGTCCATAAAACCAGTGATATCAGCATTGGTTACCATGGAACCAGAGGCCTGTTCTGCCTTTCTGAGGTGTTAGGTGCATTTCGGGGGAAGGGTCCATAGACCCTCATAATTGGCCATTTGGTTAAGTGAGGGGGAGTTAGATATTATTTGTTAAATATAACAAAAAGTTGTGTGTCTGATTGGTCCAAATGCTACAAGGTTTAGTGGTCTTTTGCCATCTCCCTGTGGTCCTGTTTGGTATCGCAGTTTGACTTGTGTTTATTTGTATTAAAAATGTTTTTTTTACTATTTAAAATTAATTTTAAAAAATTAGGCGGTCGGGGAGGCACCATTGTGTAGGTTGTGTCAAAAGGGATGCCTATCTTTGACTTTGAAAACCCCTGATTTATACGGTGCATTTAAATGTTTAAAATTAATATTGATTTTACTATTTCACAATTATATATACAGTACATAATTAGGGCTGTCAATTGATTACAATTTTTAATCTAATTAATCACACCCTTTTTTTGTGATTAATCGCGATTAATCGCACACTTCATGTAATTGAGCATAGACAATTTATCTTTCAATAAATGTCTCAAAATATCTCTTTTATCGTTTCAAATTCTGTCACCATTTGCTATATCCAGCAAAGTAAACCAAAAGATTGAAGGGTGATTCTCAAAAATCTGTAATTTCTGCAAGCTTTTTTCAAGATAAATTTAGATATCTTTCCAAAAACTTAGACACTTAGAAACTCCAAAAGGACACCAAAGAACCAAATGATATAAGGAGCCCATATAAGCACATATGAAAGAAAAAAAAATGTATAGTATGTGTACAGTGCAACAGCAAAGAGCTGTTTTACATTTTAGAGAAGTCAAGTTGTGATACCATACAGGACCACATGGAGATGTCAAAAAAAAAACTAAACCAACTGCCTGCTGACTGCATATACCTACTACAGTACATGGATCCATTCAGTATAACTAAACACAGCAACATAAACATGACAAATCAAAACATTATCGTGAATGTGTGTGGAAACAACGTGAATGTACGGAAATGTCTGTGCCTGTGCATAAATACAATGTACAATCAGTGCGTCAAGAGCACTTATACACACATTATTATAACGGACTCACGTGTGCTTACTGTACTGTACGACTCATGTACACCACCGCAATCATCTTTACCTTGATTGCAGTCTTCATCCATCAAAACTTTACTAGCGAGACTGGTTATCAAGTCGAGAAAACGTAGTTTGCGTCTCATCTGGCCATACAGCGGTGGGGATGTGTTGACAATCCGTTCAGTCTGTACTTCACACAGCGCGACGTGTGAGGGCTTGCGCTCTTCAGAGACAATCACAGAATATGACAGAGCTCATATATACAATATAAATAATTTAAATTTCGTTTCAGGAGCTCCACGAGAAAAGGCATATCTCTGATATAGTTTTGGAAGCGAAAAATAACAGACAAATATAGGACCTGAATTAATAATTTGGTGATATTAAAAATATTTTTGTTCATTTTTAAAAGTGTAGTACCTATTTGCAGGACAAAGTCCCGCTCTGGTCCATCTCCTGCTCTCTTTTTATAGCTCTGCAATATAGGCCTAGAGGAAGTATAGTAACACCAAAACATTTCACTTTTAACCAATTACATAGCATTTATCAATGGCACCTAGAAAAACAGGTAGGGCCTACTTCGGAATAATAATTAATGTTATTACAAACAAAAGTAATAAACAACCTCACTATCAGCTTATTAATTAACGAAGAAGATGTGGCTGTTTGACCAAACAATTCCTGAAGCATGGCAAAGGGACGCAGCCTCTTGTTCCCCTTCTCAGGGAACCATGGTTACATGTGTAACCTGAGACATTCCCTTTCGAATGGGAACTCTA